TAGTAAAAAAAAATAAAAGGAAATAAAAAAATAATAATTATTATTTAGTATATAATTGAAATCTAAGTAAATACTAAGCTTTGAATTTATTTTTTAAACAACAGCAACAACAACAAACAACTAAATCCATAGAAATTTATTAACTTTGTTTTTTTTATTTCCTCAATATAATTCCATTGTATATTTCATTATGATATCTACACTTCCGTTTTTTATTATCAACTGCTGCACGTCATTATAATTGTAAAAGATTTTGTTTTTTATTTTATTCAATTCCTTTTTTTATAACAACCAGATACATACATATATATCCTAACTACCTTGCGCCTATTCCTTTCTTTCCTATTTTTTTTATTTTTTTCTTCTTCTTGTGTAATTTTTAAGCTAGATCTTATAAAAACAAAATATGTCTAAAATATAAATGAGAAAAGAAGAAAAAAAACAAAACTAAGAAACCTCCTGTAAGAAATTAAAAAAAAAACAAAAGATGAGAAAAAAATAATATAAAAAAATTCAAATAAGGTACAAAAACATGAAAAGTTGTTTAATTTTTTTCAGGGCCCAGGATTGCTTTAAGAATATTAAATTAATAAATGTGAATATGCCCATATATTCTTTGGAAGGAGTGGAATTTTTCAGTTAAATCCGAGCTATAATCGTCACATTTTTAAATATAATTTTTTGAAGGACTATCCGAGCTATAAGCGAGGAATATCAACTTTTCTCAGTTACCGTCGATAAGACTGTTTTGACATGAAATGATGTTCTATTAGAAGGCATTTAAGTGATAAATCCATTAGAACTACCATCAGTTCTGTGAGTAGGTGCTTATGTTTAGAGAAATGTTCAATCAACTGCTCATTTTAGCTTGAAGGCGTATTTTCGGTTACCAAAAGTTGCCTTTGTGTACTTAGTTGAAGCCTTAAACCCTGTTTTCCGAAAAGCACGGTGGTCAACAGAAATTCCTCCTCTCTTAAAAGTGTGTGCAGCTCTGAGGTTTCTTGCGGAGGGAAGTTTTCAAAAGTCCCATGGCAATGACTTCAACCTTGGCATGGCTCAACCCACAATGCAGGTGATTTTGGCCAATTGTTTCCCAATTAACAGAGGAGGAAAAACAATGTCATTCGAAAACAAAGTCCCCGGGTGTTGTCGGATGTATTGTTGACACACACGTACATATCATGGGCTCGAAAGAAGATGATCGCCATTCTCTGCCATTCATTTGGAATGCGTGTTGGTGGGCCATAGCAGTTAAGGTCTTCTGAAATGGCCTTCCAAACATCACCGATAGTGGCTTTGGTTTGACCAAAAGTCCGCACGCCGCGTGCTACATTTGGGTGAGCTTCCATCCGGACAATTAAGACCTCAAATTGTTCTTTTGTAGTAATATTAGCCAAATTTCAGTTCTTATTGCTAAACACGACTAAAGAGCAACCAGAAATAAATGGTTGCCTAAAAATTCTATTTGAAGCAACTGAAGTTGACAACATTTGCAATCCATAATTCAAATTTGGCAACTGGCAACGATACTAAACTATGGTTACCATCCGTAATCGACCTATAAGTTCTTATTTAGCTAGAATACACGTTCTTACCTTCTCCCCCGTGGAGGCGGTAAAAACCGTGTATTTTTTGTCACTCAAGTCACCTTATGTTTGTAGAGATACGGTTCCAGGATGAGCGGGATGTCAATATTCGAGGAAGAGAGGGTGAGAAGCAGTTCAGCAGTTGATGCATATTAATCTGCACCACATTTAGCGCTTGCTCCTGTCTGCCTATTGTTTTAATGGCGGGGGACGAAAATAAAGTTTCCCCATCCCATAAAGCAATTCCCCCTTCCTCTTCCTCAAATATTGCTCACCAGCAGAGTCGGTAGCAAACTTTTGCGACTACACCGCCGTTCCTTTCAAATGAGACGAGAATTCTCCACCTCTTCATCTGAAGTCCCTTAAAAGGTGGTGGGATCCACACAGAGGTTACCATTCCGCTTGGTATCTCTTGGACCGCTACGACTGCCAGTCTGCCACCTTCACAAAGAATGTCGCAGGTGTTAATTGTCTTCATAAGGAAGTCCGCAGACTCCTTAGTTCGACAATTAACAACCTTGACCCCTTTGTATAAGGTGATCTGGCCAAACCGTAGCTTCCGTCGGATAGGATGAGGCCCTTCATATAGTTGTCGATTAGCAACCATTTATCTTCGCTGATGATTCCGTCAGGGTCAGTTCTCGCAGATCATCCAGTACCTCCTGTGGAGCAGGAGGTACTCCTTCGACACTACTACCGACGCAAACGAAGCAGAACTTTGTGCAGCTGACGACTGCGTGGGTCTCTTGGCAGCAGGTTTTGTTCCTCCGAGGACTTCATTCTCTTCACAGCTGTGACCGACAACTGCGCAATTGTCACAACCTTGGATATCGGTTTCGACAATTAGGCAGAGGGTGGATTACCAGGTGCCCTATCAGCCTTGTTGGGGGCCTTTTTACGGGCTCTCCGTCGGGCTGTCTTCGACAGTCCCTTACCCTCAGTCTATGACTGACAGAGCTGTAGTTCTGGGAGGGGACGACCTTCACGGGATCCTTAACGCTATCCGCGATAGTTTAGAGGAGCAGAGTAGGGAAATCTTCGACCAGTTAGACAGGCTTGTACCGGAAGAGCAATGCGGGGATACGCTTCCGTAGGACCAGCTACTAAATCTTACCCTGACTGATGATGAGCTAGACACCACGGAGATTCCGACAAAGTCTACACAGGGGGATTGTTGTAGCCTCAATGAAGGAAGCGTAGACCTTGTTGACCGACTGACTTGAAGTCTGACTCCAACAGGTCCTTTGTCGGCACTTTCCGACAATAAACTACAAAGGCAAACGGCGACGGGGGCGATGTCCGACGATGGGGAATCTATCGAGACCCCAGCAACGGACAGCGGCCCGAAGGTCGGAAATGTCCGAGAGGTATCTGATGCGAAGCACTACATGCGTGCCGTTTGATTTATCATTTTTTTATAGTTCTTATGGGTGAACTCGCGGCACATATCAGCACAGGTGACACCGCGGGGAGGTCAGTGTCCTCAATTAAAGAAGTTCGAGGGCTCCTCAAATCTACTGTTCCGAATATACCCATAAGGTGTGGCGGAACCCATCCCGCTACTGCCACCAACTTCCTATCTACCCAAATGGGTCAATGTCATTGTTTTCTTAAGGAAGACACTAAAATAACGTACTGTACCGGTACACAAACACTAAAAATATTTTTAGCGTTACTGTTCCGGAGCACAACGAAAATCTTAGCGTACCTGCTGCGGTACACTAAAAAATCGTAGTGTACCGACAGCGGTACACTAAAAATCGTAGTGTACCGGCAGTGGTACACTAAAAATTGTAGTGTACCGACTGCGGTACATTAAAAATCATTGTGTTCCACTGGTCGGAACACTAAAAATGTTAGTGTTCCACTGGTCGGAACACTAAAAATCTTAGTGTTCCACTGGTCGGAACAATAAAAATCGTAGCGTTCCACTTACTTGAACTGTACTGGTAGTGTACCATACACGTCTGTTTTTTTTTTGTAGGTAAAATGAGATAAAATAATAAAAAAAATAAAACTGAATATAACTTTATTTGCAATTACAAAAGTGAAAATGTCCATCAGAAATAGGTATTTTGGCCAGTTTTTGTGACAAAATTATTCAGCTTTGGATAAAATGTTCATTGATTTACACAACGAACATGATTTTTCCCATAATATTGGGAGATCTCCTTGTAAAATGTTAGTACGAAAACATTATTTCTTAAAACAATTATACCTGCATCCATCTATGATTCATACTTTTAGGAAATTTTAGCAAAAATATTCAAAATTTGGTGATTGTCACACAATCAACATAATAATTACCTGTTTATTCATTAAAAGAAGTGTACAAATTACGCGGATATGGAAAACATATTTTTATGATTTTGGGATAAATATTACAAAACCACACACAGGTACCATATCAACAACGAATTTCATATACATATCCATTATTGGAATATTCTTCCTTTTTATGATTTTTGCACAGGTAGTCTTATGCAATACATTTTTCCGATCAGCACAATCGATTATGGAATTTTCAGTTGCGAGTTGGCATCTGATTGAATTTTCACTAGACGACCTTTTTTAGTTATAAAACATTTATTATGTTAAACGGTTGATACTAATAAAATATTACTAATTTTTAATCAAATATATAAAAAAAATTAAAAGTTTTATATTTATTAAATCTATTGGAAAACAATAAAAATATAAATTTTATTCATAAAAAAATAAAATATAACAAATACATCTTTTTGTGTTCCGACAAATGGAACACTACGATTTTAAGTGTTCCGTCAAGTGGAACACTACGATTTTTAGTGTTCCGCCAAATGGAACACTACGGAACACTACGATTTTTAGTGTTCCGACCAGTGGAACACTACGATTTTTAGTGTTCCGACCGCGGTACGCTACGATTTTTTAGTGTTCCGACCGCGGTACACTACGATTTTTAGTGCTCCGACCGCGGTACACTACGATTTTTAGTGCTCCGACAGCGGTACACTACGAATTTCGTTGTGCTCCGGAACAGTAACACTAAAATATTTTTTAATGTTTGTGTACCGGAACACAAACGCTAAAATTTTTTTAGTGTTTGTGTTCCTGGTACGGTCAGATAATTCTGACGAAACATGAAACGCTATTCGTCTTGCAAACTTAGTTACGGTGGGGGAGCAAATATTCTATCCAACGATTCCAAAAGATATTTTTGAACTTTATTTTTTTCTTTATATTACATTTATTTCTAAAAATTAGATATGAAAAAAGATAATTCAAATTTTGGATTGAAAATTTGTTTAACATTAAATTAAAAAATATATAGTATATTAAATTAATGGACCGTACGGAGGGAGAGATATAATTTCATAATTATACCTCAAAATAAGTAAAAAAGAAACGGAACCAAAATCTTTTGAAAATGACTTAACAACTAGGACTACGATCTAGTGAGGGTAATCTTGAACTTCGCTCTGATAATTTATGACGACTTTTGTGTGAATCCGAAGTTGGTGCGGTCACTGGTGATTTATGCCGTGTTGAACTACGTTCCGAAGATCTACGTTTGGACTCACGGCGTTCAGGTGTCCGACGTCTAGACGTGTGTTCCGACGAAGAGTGATGTTTTGTCGAGTGACTTTGGTCTGTCGTTAGAGAATTGTGACGTGATCTATGACGTGATGAATGTTCCTCATTGTATGAATTACGTCTAGACGATTCGGAATAGTATTTTTCGCGTCGTGATCTGGGTGCGTGTTCTTCGCCATCATCATCATCTCTTGCGTCATGTTCCTCATCACGTGATGAATTTTTATCGGGAGCTGAAGATTCATTGGCTGAATGTTCAGAGGTGGCATGACCACTGTCTATGCCAGCACTACTGCTGCCACCACCGCCGCTACTTGCAGTTGTTGTTGGTGGCAAATTGTTTGTCGCTGCCAAGGAGGCATTGTGTGCTAAAACGTCCTTATGACGTTTGGTAAACGTCTCACGTATTTCACGTTTCTCATGACGCATCCTTTCCTGCATATCCTTTTCTATCGTTGTTTTAATTATCTCCGCCGATTTGACCAATTCATCGGTTTCAATGACAACTTTACTGCTCCTCGATGCCGATGATCGACGATCACGACTACCATCATCACGACGAGACCATGAACGTTTTGAATGTGTCCTCGAATGGGAACGAGAACGTGATCTCGACTCATGTGAGGTAGAACGTGATCGACGTGTTGAAACCAGTTTGCGATTAACTTTCTCTGGAGGCCTCAATTGTGTTGGCGATTTAGAGCGTGATGATTTACTACGATTTTTGTCTTCACGTGAACGTACTCGTGACCGTGAGCGAGATCTACTCTCGGAACGAGAATAAGATCTGGAACGTGATCGAGAACGCGACCGTTTCGAATAGTGACGATGGCGTGAACGAGAATGGGTGCGGGATCGAGTTCTTGAGCGAGACCGACGATCTCGCGACCGGGAGCGTGAGCGAGATCTCGAACGTGATCGGGATCTTGAGCGAGATCTGGAACGGGTGCGTCGATCTCTTGAGCGGCTACGAGATCGTGAGCGCGAATAGCGTCTAAAAAGAAAACAAAAAAATTAAAATCTTCAAAAACTATTTTTAATTCGTATGCTTACCTTCCCCTCGAATAAGAGGACTTGTGATAATTCCCTCTGCCACCATCCTCATCATCCTCCTCATCGTCATAACGACGATCACGATCGTCATGATTATAATGATATTTACTGTAGGACGATGATTGGCCCTCATAACCACCACGACCGCGTCCTCGTCCCCTGCCACGACCACGTATTCGTGGTGCAAATCCGCGATAATTCATTGGAACCGGAAACGTTGGTGGTCGATACATTGAAGGCAGGCCAGGAAAGAGACCGGGTATATTTCCATATGGAAACATTGTCAAAGATTTCATCCATTCCGCAGCTGCCTCAGTATTATAGTTGGCACCCAAGGCAGCAATAGTTTTGAAAGGATTAGCAGCAGCATTTGCCGCTACAGCAGCTGCCGCCGCCGCAGCTGGATTTGGAATGGCAGGAACTTCTGGTGTGGTGGTTACTTTAGCTGCTGCCGCCACGCTAGTTGTTTCTTTATCCTTTTTCGTCTTCAGCAAGCCAATTAAGGGGGTTTGATTCTTTATATCTTCAACAAGTTTTTGCTGATCACTGAGCAACTTTTCTGTGGCACTTTTATATTTCTCCACTAAACGTTCGCGAACTGTATCGCGAGCCATTTCAGCTTGATATTTTGATGATGAGGTGGAACCATATTTCGCCAAGTGTTTGAGCTGGAATGAAGGAAAAAAGAAAAAGGGAATTAGTTATAGGAGGAATCAAAGACAAGGATCTAGAAGTCCTCTTGACCTTCTACTAGAAGGCCGAGAAATATTCATTTTGAAGACCAAGAGGTATTGTCATAGAAGACCTACATTTTCCCAAGGGGTCTCAGAGCCTTAAGCGTGAATTTTTATAAAGAATATTTTCCAAAGGGATCTCATAGCTATAAGCTTGAATGTTTCAAACAATATTTTTAATCGAGTCTCAGAGCTTTAAGCGTGGATTTTTAAATTATATTTTCCAAAGGGGTCTCAAAGGGGATTTTTTAGGAATATTTAAGCGTGGATTTTTTAAAGAATACTTTCCATAGATGCCTCAGAGTTTTAAGCGTGGATTTTTTAAAGAATATTTTCCATAGAAGCCTCAGAGTTTTAAGCGTGGATTTTTTAAAGAATACTTTCCATAGAAGCCTCAGAGCTTTAAGCGTGGATTTTTTAAATAATATTTTCCATAGAAACATCAGAGCTTTAAGCGTGGATTTTTTAAATAATATTTTCCATAGAAACCTCAGAGCTTTAAGCGTGGATTTTTTAAAGAATATTTTCCATAGAAACCTCAGAGCTTTAAGCGTGGATTTTTTAAAGAATATTTTCCATAGAAACCTCAGTGCTTTAAGCGTGGATTTTTTAAAAAAAATATTTTTCGAAAGGGGTTTCAAAGCTTTTATAACGAATATTTTCAAAATTGGTCTTAGAGCTTTTAGCGTGGGTTTTTTAAAGACTATTTTTTCAAAGGGTTCTCAGAGCTTTTACCGTAAATTTTTTAAAGTGGCCTAAGAGCTTTAAGTGGATTTTTAAAGAATATTTTCCATAGAAGCCTCAAAGTTATATGCGTGGATTTTTTTAAAGAATATCTTCCATAGGAGGCTCAGAGCTTTAAGCGTGAATTTTTTAAATGATTTTCGAAGCGTGGATTTTTTTAAAGAGAAGGCCTTTTTAGGCTTCTATAAAAAGCCGAAGTGTCTTCTACAAAAATATCGATGGGTCTTCTTTAAAAGTCAGAAGGGTCTTCAATAAGAATATCGATTGGCCGAAGCGTCTTCTATAACAAGATCGATGGGTCTTCCACATGAAGATTGTTCTACAAAAAGATTGAAGGGTCTTCTATAAGAAGATCAGAAGGGTCTTATACAAGATCGAAGGGTCTTCCACGACAAAAAAGAAGGATACACGTGCGTCCACCGGATAAACACCAAGACCGCAGGGTCTTCTGAAAGACCGTAAGACCGTCTATATGAAAACCAAATAGATCTTCTATATAAAAACCGAATAGCGTTATATATGAAAACCGAATGGGTCTTCTATAAGAAGACTGAACGGTATTCTATAAAAAGACAACGGAGTTTTCTATAAGAATACGGAATGCTTTTCTATATGAAGACCGTAGTATGTTCTTTAACCTTAAAAATCCCACATGGTCTTTTGTAAGAAGGCCGAAGGGTCTCTATAGGTTTTTTTCTGATTTTTTTTTTTAATTTTCCTTCAACCCAATCTCTTTTCCAACTCACCTTTATCCGACTAAAGACCTGTTCCAATATCCGTATACTTTCTAATTTCCTTTGCGCAATCATCAGTTTCCGTTCTTCGACGCGTATCTTTTGTGAGATTTCAATGGAACCTTTCTCTTGGATCTTCTTCAGATGTTTCTCTTTGCGTTTTTCTTCACGTTCACGTTGTCGTTCCAGTTCGGCTAGCTTTTCTTCTTCTTCTTTTTTCCTGTAATTTGTTTGTTGTGCAGGAGGAGGTTTTTGTTTTTTGTTTGTTTGCATTCTCTAGGCATTTTTCTTTTTTGTTGTTGCTTTTGGTATTTAATATTATTTGTATTTTGTTTCTTTCTCGTGTGTTTGGCTTTTTTGTTATTGTAATTCTTAAACCAGCATGTGGTTGTTTATTTAAGAAACGTGCTAAACAACTACTGAGAAAGCTTTCGTTTTTTGTTTGTAAAGATATGAGGTTTCGAAGAGGTTTAATTTTTAAATAATTAAAAAAAAATATTTGGAGTCCAGAATTAAATTAAATGTGAATTGAAATTTTTTTACTTCAAGAAAACGTTATTTTGTAGACCAAAGCCAATCAAAATTAATTTCAACAAATTAAGAAGGTTGGGTTTGAGATTCTATTGTGTCAATTTTACTGTGTGGTCGAACAGTGAAGCAGGCAAAGCTAAAGTTCTTTAGATCTCTATTAGGGTTTCCTTTTTAAATATTTCATCAATATTGAAATTGAATATTGACTATGGAGACCTGAGTGACTTAACATCATCATTTAGCTAGACTTTCCCCTTCATATTTCCTAGGTAATTCAGATCCGTAAACCCGAAAAACCTCATATCTTTACAAAGACATTTTTTTTCAACTCCTTTCTTTGTTAATATTCGGAAAAAGAGATACATTAAGGACACACTACGGATTTAAAAAAAAATATGAATATTCAAACCTTTGTTCTTCCAGTTTTTGTTGCTCCAATTTTTTGCGCCGTTCAACTTCCTCCTCCTCGGCCTTAGCTTTGGCAATGATATGTTTTCGTACCCTTTCTCGACGTTGTATTTGGGCATCACTTAAATGTTTTGTGGTATCAAAGGTCACGCCGATGTTAATCGCTTGGGTTTTGTCGATATATTTGCGCACCAACTTCATACCACGAAATTCATCCATGGCTCGAACGAAGCCAACATATTCGTCGAATTGGACATAACTAAAATTGGGAGAAAAGAAAAAAAAAAATAAATAATTTTAAATAAACAATTAGGATTTATTTTTTAAATTTTTCAAAGGAGTCTCAAATCAATTAGCCAGGATTTTTTAAGAATATTTTCCCAAAGGTGTCCCAAGGAAAAATTTTTAATTTTTTTATTAATCGTGGATTTTTAAGAATTTTTATACCAAAAACCCTTAATTTTTAATGAATATTTTCCCCTATGAATCCCGAGCAATAAGCGTGAATTTGTTCAGGAATATTTTCTTTTTTCATTTTAAACTACCAAGTCATCCTTGGAGAGCCGTCTTAATTAGAGGTCAAATAAGGAATAATACGACAAATTGCAAATGCCGATTATATGTAATGGAAGATCATTCACGATCTAGCAGAATGTCGCTTTGAGAATTTATGAAAATTCATTCAGTTTCTACTTGGGTATCATCGAGAAAATTTTAGCCTAATAAACCGGCGTCCACCAACCAGAAACGTCAGGAGAGAGAAGTTTTGAGAGAAGATGGAAGTTCGAATTGCTCTGAACTGAGGTCTGTAGATGTTTGAACCGGTATGGAGGTGATCTATAGAGGTTCGAATTGGTTTGTACATTTTCGAACGAGTGTTGGGAAGTTCCTTAGTGATTCGAACCTATATTGATACGTTCTATGATCTCGAAATCGGACTTGGCATGCTCTTTAGAGGTTAGTAATAATAATGAGAATCTCTATAGAGAATCAAAAGTTTCGTGCTATTGTAGAAAAGCTCTGTAGAGTTACAATCTTGTGTTAATGAATGAACTTTTGCAGAGAAACGTCGATGTGTTATTAACACATCGAATCTTAAATAAACACTTTTCGCTTTAAGAATTAGTCATTCTTCTTATATTAAAGAAAAAATTGATACAACATTTACTTACGCTTCAAAAAGGACCTCCTGATCGAATCCGAATGTTTTCATTCCATTGATATCAGCATTCATTTTCTTGCGATATGGATCACAGATGGGTATATCCACACAACGGACACTGCCAAATTTCTCGAAAATTCGTTTAAAAATACCCTCCGATGGTTTGACATTTTCTTCGTTTTCCATGTGACGCGGACAGAACCATTTGATGGGTAAATGTGTCAAGTGTATGGTATCTGGCCGTTCACCCGCCTTCATTTCATCCATTTTATGGGCATCACGAAAAAATGAATCCCAATCGTGACGGGTTGGAAAATCATCTTTTGCTTCGGAGACTCGTACCCGAAAACTTTCATGAAAACCGGAAATTTTCAAGGATACCCCATCGAGACGATTTATACAAGATCGGAGACGTGATCTATCATCCAGTTCGGCTTCGAAACGTATAAAATCCACCGTTGTCTTTGAGACCTGTAGGACACAGAAATTTGATTAACCTCAGTTACTTTCAAAACTAGTTGTACTTGCCAAATTTCGTGTCTCACCTTGAGTACTAGGAATTTATCCGGTTTTAGGGCTTGACTTAGTTTTTCCATAATGTCAAGATTTGATATGGATTTGCCCATTTTGTTGATGGGCAAGGCCACCGATATATTCAACTTGGCCAAAGGCTTGAGATAAAGGCTGTGCGGCAAGTACAGTGGTACACAATCTGCCACATGTTCTATGGTCTGGATATTCATCATTTTTTATTTTAAATATTCGTTTTGTTAAGCAATTTTTGTTGTCGTTGTTATTTTTGTCGTCGTTTGTTTAATAAATATTTGGCCATAAATTTGGCACATTAATATTTGTTGTTGTTGTTATTTTTATTATTTATATCAATTTGTTTATGACGTTGGTTTTTGTTGTTTTGTTTGTTTTCAAAAATTACATTAAACAATTTTACAAATTAAATATAGCGGCAAAATTAAACAAGGAAAAATGATGCATTAAAAAATACAAAAAAGAGAAAAATAAAGTAAAAGAGAGCGTGCTTCACACACAATAAATTATATGGCTATGTTTCAAAGAGAGTGCTGTGTTTGTTCTCTTTACTCATTAAAATGATACCAAGAAATGGGGTATGCCGAGTGAGAGATGGTTGGTGTTGGGAACAGAATGAAAAATCAATAATGCTGAACTATTGCTGCTAATTAAGAAAAATTAATTAATGACTTGGTTATCTTAAAATTTAATAAAAAAAAACTTAAAAATATTTTCCTTTCACTTAAGCCCTGCTGCTATTTTCTTTGCTTCCAATGCCGTTGATGTCGGGCCGCCGCTTTCTACAATGCAAAGAAAAGCCTGCTAAAGAAGAATTTTGTTCTTTCTTGTCGGTCGTTTCTTTTCACGTCACACACAATTTTCTTTTTAGCGAGTCTCTATATTTTTTCTTTTGCCTTGCAAACGTTTTATACAACAGTTTGCTTAACTTTTTTTAACACCACTAAAATTTTAGCTCTTTGGGCTTTTGATTTTATACTAAATGTCTTTAATTTGTGTATTATTTTCTCTATAATTTTGTTAATTTTCGCGGAGAATTATAGTTTTTTTCTTCCGTCTTTCGATGAAGATGGCAAAGTTACAAGTTAGGTAGTACCGAGTACTTTGCTTAGGGGTGTAATCGTTTTATGGCGGGTAGAATGTAGTCACTTGGATGATTGGACCACTTTTCAATACGGTTGCACATAACATTTTTGAAAAGCGTTCCGACTTAATGTTTAGTGTTTACACATGGCAATTTTAAAAGGCTTTAGAAAATATCAACTGGATTTAAAAAGAATATCGAATATATTCGAAATTTAAATATAAAAAATTATAATATAAGCCATAAATTCGAGCCATTGTAAAGCTCGTGGCTCATTCGACGCCGATCGGCCCGCAGATCTTTCGGAGAAATTTTCTCTCTAACACCTCAAGAGCTGCCCCATCTGCTTGCGCGAGTACCCATGTTTCAGATCCATATAACAGCATGGGTAGTATCAGCGTTTTGTTAAGTGTGACTTTGGTCCTACGGGAGCTGCCCTTGTTTCTAAACTGCTTACTTAGATCATAGTAGCACCTGTAATCCTTCTCCGAATTTCAAAACTGATATTAGTTTTATTTATGGCGGTGCCTAGGTATATAAAATCTTTAACTACATCGAAGCTGTAGTTCTCAAGTTCCATAGTTGGTCCGAGTATACTGGATGCCTTTCGCGTTGATACCATCAGCTTGGTCTTCTCGCCGTTTACTGTCAGACCCACTTTGGCAGACTCCTTCTCAATTTTTCAAAGATGGCTGTTACCGCTAGCACGAGATGATAGTTTGTCACACGACAAACTATCACCTTTTTTGTTCGGTAGTAAAGGGCTCCGAGAGGTCCTTTCCGACTTTAACTGCTGATCTTGTGTCTGTGAGAGTCATCCTGCATAGCTTGTAACCCATCGGCACCTGCTGCTTTATTATTCTTCAGCCAATTGATTGCTATTCTGACTTCATCTTGGCTGGGTGGCATACACTCTATACCGTCTCTATTATTGGTTCTGGGGTATCCACTTCACTGCTACTATTTGATACCAGAATGCTCCTTCCAGATCCTCAGCACGCTGTCTGTATCTGTCACCAGGTTTCCAAATTCCTGTCTCGTTTCATGGCAGCTATAATACAGGGCGTAATCATCTGATTTACTTACGCCAGTCCCTTTCCATCGCATTTCCTGTAAGGCAATAATATCGGCTTTGTAATTCTTGATTACATCCGCCAAAGCGAACACTAGCTCACTATTTCATGGGGTGATGAAAATAGCTCCCCAGGTGGCACCGCGGGGAGGTCAGTGTCCACAATTGAGATGAAAGAGGAACCAAGATAAGATTGGACTTTGCTATGTTAAAGCCAATCAGAGCCGTTGCTTGATATCTATCATCCCCTACGCAACCGCGATGGCTATTGAGATCGGACAGAAGATATATTACGTGTCAAGGTTGTCCTTTTCCCAGCCACTTTTGGTTTCTAATTATGCTGTAGATTAGAGCAGGTTCCGTTGTTGAGAAGAAACTAAGACTCGATGGAAAATGAGCACCCACTAGTCTGTAGCCAGGACTGAACAGTGACACAGTAGATGATCAATTGTCTCCGTCTCCTCCTCGTCAACGCAGAGTCTACAGTAATCATTTGCATCACGGTCTCATTTACTGGTAAAGACCTTTATATTGCAATGACCAGTAATGATTCCTGTCATTACTCTTATTTCAGCTTTGCTCAGGTTCAACAGTGAGAGTATCCTTTTGGTAGACAGAGTCGGACAAAAAGATTTTGACACATTGCACCTAGGTTCGTTGTGCCAAAGTTCATAGGCTCTTTCGTCGAAGAACGCCTCAAAGTTCCGATAAAGATGACATATGGGTGGTTTGATTGAGCAATCGATTGCTAGATCTGTAGATTGAGATCCTCGTCTAGCTAATTCGTCTGCTCTTTCATTACCCATGATGTCACGGTGTCCTGGTACCCAACACAGCCGATAGCTGTAAGTAAGCTGTTCTAAACTTGAGGACGGCCTCAGATTTGATGTAACAAGATTTGATGGCTCTTAAAGCCATCGGTGACGAAGGTAGTCACCGGTTCAACGACCTCTGCATCACACTTTTTATCAATTCCGCGCCTTTCAAATCGCGAAGATTTCAGCTTAGAAAACACTACAGTTGCTATCCAGCTTGTAGGTTAACTCAAGGCTTAGCCCTTTACAGTCGACGCCAGCCCCTGTACCTTTTACCATCTTGTATCCGTCAGTATAGAAAGCCAGGCCGTCCAGAGGAGGGTTACTCCGGTTCCAGTCGTCTCTACTAGGAATAACGACATCTACATCGTCGAATCTCAGGACTGGTGATAAGTCGCTTAGTTTTACGTGTTGGTCCAATGTCATACCTGGTTCGTTCAAGATACAACCATGCCCAAAGGTACAACTTCCCCAAAGATTTTGTTCATGCAGCCTGAGGGCACTACGTGTGGCCTGACACTTAATGCTGAGGCCCAGAGGCCTTAAGTTCAGCATTGCGTTCAGAGCTGATTGTTGCGTGCTCCTCATGGCTCCTGTTTTTAAAATCGAGGCGGCTCTTTGTACCTTATATAATTTGCTGGATGTCGACTTGTGGCGCAGGCAGTTCTACCAAACAAGAGAACCGTAGGAAAGGATGTGCCTTACCACGGTGTTTAGCCCCCAACTTTTCCCAATGGAACTCTATGCACTCTATGCAAGCATAGAGTGCAATAAGGCCTCTCTTCGCCCGTTCCTCAGCGTTTCTGTTCCATCGTAATTGACAGTCCAAGATTGTACCAATGTACTTTGCTTCGGGTGATAGATGAAGTGGCACTCCATCCAGTGTGGGTGGAGCAAAAATGCCACATTACGCTTCCTAGTGAACATTACCAGTTCCGTTTTTGTTGGATTAAGAATGCTAGAGTATCAATTTCAGATTTGCCAAACAGTCAATATTTTCTGCTACATAGCGATGGACATCTACAATCTGTGTACAACCTTCTATTTGTCGATGGAATACCAAATAGAAGGTTGTACACATCCCTCAATCGGTAGACTGGACTACTGCTAACCCCTTCGAGCAAGCTCGTCAGCTATTTCATTCCCACCTTTAACACAATGTCCTGGAACGCAACAAAATTTAAATTTCAGGCCAAGAATCGCTTTTGAATTCAAAGTACTCGACTTAAGTACCTTAAAGGCCACCTGACTATCGACATATATAGCCACCGATCCAACATTGTCAGCAGTAAGTGCTTTGACTATTTCGGTCGCTTTCGTGGATTTCTGTTTGAAAAAAAAAAACGTTACAGAATTCCTTGCAGAAAACACCTGCACCAGTACATTCCTCCATATTCGATCCGTCTATATATTTCGACAGACTAGCCGGAGAAAAATAACAACTTAACCAGGATCCGCTGCTAGGAATGTTTACTCTAATGTCATCAAAGTTATTATGGAACGTAGTCGCTGGTGTGAATATTCCTGTCGATGGTTTTAACAAATGTTCTGTCTCGACCCATCTACGTAATACTGGGACGACTTCCGCACAAAGCGAAACGAGTATAACAAATTGTAAATTCCAAGCCTCCAAAGACATACTGGATGAAACATATTTTCAAATACAGACAAATAAAAATAACACTTTTTTATTGAATTAATATTTTTCTGTTTTTTATTTTCTTCTTTATTTTTCTTTTTCATCAATTCGTTTCAGTTTTCAATATCCTCAGTTGTTTTTTGGGTTTTTTTTTTAATTTTGGCCACATTTGACCTTATTCGATATTTACTATTTTATAGTATTTTTTATTATTATTTAATTTTGGTTTGATTTTGTTTTTGTTTTTTTTATAATAATTCTTATTTTATAACTATTTGACATAACATTATCTATTTTTTTTCAAATAATAAATAGATTGATTATGTCTAGAACTTATTTAGCATTATTATATTAATATTTTTCATTTTAATTTTTTTGGGAGGGAGGGGCTTAAATACAATATTTAATTTTTATTTTTCTTGGCTTTTTATTTATTTTTCTTTATAAACTAATTTCAGTACTTTAAATATAACAACAAAAAACAATGTACAATAATTGAAAAATTAATTATTATCTCTATAAAAAACAATTGTGTGAAGGAATTGCTAAAAAATTAGTTAAAATTATTATAATGAATCAGCTGTTTTGAAAAGGATTGGGAATGTTTTTTTTTTGGTCTCCCAAAAATTCAGATTTGCTTTTCGTGCCACTATACTATGTTTACACCACGCTCCGGTCTTTGTGAAGTGTTCCAATATAAACATAGTCGGACATATTAGGTTATTGCCAAGGCCTTTAAATAAGGTCATCCAGAGAGACCAGCTGGATATCAGCTGTTTCTCAAAACAGCTGAGTTTCACTTGCTGGGTGATCTTATTAATAGATTTCGGTTATTACCTTACTCATATCTGATATTTAGACTTAATTTTCAGCAATTACTTCACATTTGGCATATTTTACGGTTGTTTTGACACATGTTTGAAGTAAATAATAAATATTATTTTTATTATTATTGTAGCCTTGTAATAAATGCATTTAATATCATTTTGTTTTTCTTTTATTAATTATTTGCTGCGGATTTGTCTTGAACATTGGATGATAAAAGCGATATACAATAAATCTCAGAATCTAAAATTATAAAAAAACATTAAAGAAATTAACGAAATTCACTGTGGCATTCACCATGTGTCAATTTTAATTAAGGAAATTGACAATATAAATGACTTGTTTTATTAAAACAGCAATAATGTAAATCCGCCTCCATATATTCTGTCAAAGATCAACAATTTTACTAAAATGTTTGACACTTGTTGAGACCTTAGAAAGTAAAGCTCATTCTTCCCTATTGGAATTAAAAAAAAAATAAAAAATAGAAATCGAGAAGACAAGTATTGGAGACGGTGCACAGTGGGCGAAAAGGCTCATCTAGCGGCGTTTAATTAATAGCGCTTAGGAATTTTGTTTTTTATTGATTGTAATATTTTTTTTTAGTTGAAAATAGATTAAGCTACAGAGTTAAACAAAAAAAAAAAATGATATATATATATATTTTTTTTTTTTTTTGAAAGTTGCAAGTTTTTTCATTTTTTTAGACATTGTTTATTTCATTCAGGAGAACATGATAAGGTTGGAATATTTAACGTTTCTCATTCTTTGGGCTAAGAATATATTAAACTTTAATTATAAAAACATTTTTTTTATTAATTTTTTTAATTATATTTTTGGCCTTATTCAGACTTCATACATTTCAGTTGTTTTCATAACAAAAATTTAATTATAAATAAAAAAGGAAAAAATACAAATCGAAATAAGAAACTGTTATTACTAGACCTCGGATTTTTGCATATTTTTTATGCTTTGTCCGATTGGACTCAAATTTTGTATTTAGGCGTTTCATGCTTTAATTGATCGATATTTGGGGTCATGTCAAAAATATGCAAAAAATATGCAAAAAATATGCAAAATATATGCAAAAAATATGCAAAATATATGCAAAAAATATGCAAAATATGCAAAAAATATGCAAAATATGCAAAAAATATGCAAAATATGCAAAATATATGCAAAATATGCAAAAAATATGCAAAATATGCAAAAAATATGCAAAATATGCAAAAATATGCAAAATATGCAAAAAATATGCACGGTATGCTAGGTCGATATGCGTTAAATATATGCAAAAAATATACAAAATATGCATTGTCGATATGCAAAATATGCAAAAATATGCAAAACTATGCAAAATATGCAAAAATATGCAAAATATGCAAAATATGCAAAATATGCAAAATATGCAAAAATATGCAAACATATGCGAAATATGCAAACATATGCAAAATATGCAAAAATATGAAAAATATGCAAAAATATGCAAAATATGCAAAACATATGCAAAATATGCAAACATATGCAAAAATATGCAAAATATATGCAAAATATGCAAACATATGCAAAATATGCAAAATATGCAAACATATGCAAAATATGCAAAAATATGCAAAATATGCACGGTATGCAAAATATGCGTTAAATATATGCAAAAAATATACAAAATATGCATTGTCGATATGCAAAATATGCAAAAATATGAAAAATATGCAAAAATATGCAAAATATGCAAAATATGCAAATTATGCAAAAAATATGCACGGTATGCTAGGTCGATATGCGTTAAATATATGCAGAATATGCAAAAATATACAAAATATGCAAAATATGCAAAAATATGCAAAACTATGCAAAATATGCAAAAATATGCAGAAATATGCAAAAATATGCAAACATATGCAAAATATATGCAAACATATGCAAAATATAAAATGCAAAAATATACAAAATATGCAAAAATATGCAAAATATGCAAACATATGCAAAAATATGCAAAATATATGCAAAATATGCAAACATATGCAAAATATGCAAAATATATGCAAAATATGCAAACATATGCAAAATATGCAAAAATATGCAAAATATGCACGGTATGCTAGGTCGATATGCGTTAAATATATGCAAAAAATATACAAAATATGCATTGTCGATATGCAAAATATGCAAAAATATGAAAAATATGCAAAAATATGCAAATTATGCAAAAAATATGCACGGTATGCTAGGTCGCACTATTAAAGATAGAACTTTGAAATTTTGCACATATATTATTATTACTCCTAGGATGTTTGGTATTGGAAATGGGATATATCGGTCCACGTTTTTGTATATCGCCATATAACGGTTAAATATGTTTGCATGTTTTATACATATATTTAGCAAATTTTTCATAATGCCCCAAAAATCTAACAGTTGAACCATGAAACGCATACATACAAAATTAGATTTCTATAGGTTAAAAATAAAGAAAGCACACAAATTCGAAAACTACCATGAAAAATCTTTTTTTTTTTTGATTAAAATAATTGCATATGTGAAATATGTTGCTCATATTTTGCATATTTTTGCCAATATTTTTCATATTTTTTGCATATTTCTCGCATATCGACCTAGCACACCGTGCATATTTTTTTGCATATTATGCATATTTTTGTATATTTTTGCATATTTTCATATGTTTGCATATTGTGCATATATTTTGCATATGTTTGCATGTTTTGCATATATTTTGCATATTTTTGCATATTGTGCATATATTTTGCATATGTTTGCATGTTTTGCATATATTTTGCATATTTTTGCATATTTTGCATATGTTTGCATATGTTTGCATATTTTGCATATATTTTGCATATGTTTGCATATTTTGCATATATTTTGCATATTTTGCATATATTTTGCATATGTTTGCATATTTTGCATATTTTGCATATGTTTGCATGTTTTGCATATATTTTGCATATTTTTGCATATTTTGCATATATTTTGCATATGTTTGCATATGTTTGCATATTTTGCATATGTTTGCATATTTTGCATATATTTTGCATATATTTTGCATATTTTGCATATATTTTGCATATGTTTGCATATTTTGCATATTTTGCATATGTTTGCATATTTTGCATATGTTTTGCATATTTTGCATATTTTTGCATATTTTTCATATTTTTGCATATTTTGCATATGTTTGCATATGTTTGCATATTATGCATATTTTGCATATATTTGCATTTTTTGCATATTTTGCATATGTTTGCATATTTTGCATATGTTTTGCATATTTTGCATATTTTTGCATATTTTTCATATTTTTGCATATTTTGCATATGTTTGCATATTTCGCATATGTTTGCATATTTTTGCATATTTTGCATATTTTGCATATTTTGCATATATTTTGCATATTTTGCATATTTTGCATATATTTGCATATTTTTGCATATTTTGCATATTTTTGCATATTTTGCATATTTTGCATATTTTGTATATTTTTTGCATATATTTATCACATATCGACCTAGCATACCGTGCATATTTTGCATATTTTTGCATATTTTGCATATGTTTGCATATTTTGCATATATTTTGCATATTTTGCATATGTTTGCATATTTTGCATATATTTTGCATATTTTTGCATATGTTTGCATATTTTGCATATGTTTTGCATATTTTGCATATTTTTGCATATTTTTCATATTTTTGCATATTTTGCATATGTTTGCATATTTCGCATATGTTTGCATATTTTTGCATATTTTTGCATATTATGCATATTTTTGCATATTTTGCATATCGACAATGCATATTTTGTATATTTTTTGCATATATTTAACGCATATCGACCTAGCATACCGTGCATATTTTGCATATTTTTATTTTTGCATATTTTGCATATTTTTGCATATTTTGCATATATTTTGCATATTTTGCATATGTTTGCATATTTTGCATATATTTTGCATATTTTGCATATTTTCGCATATTTTGCATATGTTTTGCATATTTTGCATATGTTTGCATATTTCGCATATGTTTGCATATTTTTGCATATTTTGCATATTTTGCATATGTTTGCATATTTTGCATATGTTTGCATATTTTGCATATTTTGCATATATTTTGCATATGTTTGCATATTTTTGCATATTATGCATATTTTTGCATATTTTGCATATTTTTTTCATATTTTGCATATGCTGCATATTTTGGCATATTATTCATATTTTGCATATTTTTGCATATGCTTGCATATTTTGCATATGTTAACATATTTTGCATATTTTTTGCATATTTTGCATATTTTTGCATATTTTAGCATATATTTTGCATATTTTTGCATATTTGGCCTATATTTTGCATATTTTATGCATATATTTTGCATATTTATTGCATATCGACCTAGCATATTTTGCATATTTTTTGCATATTTTGCATATATTTTGCATATTTTTTGCATATTTTGCATATATTTTGCATATTTTTGCATATTTTGCATATGTTTGCATATTTTGCATATGTTTGCATATTTTGCATATGTTTGCATATTTTGCATATATTTTGCATATATTTTGCATATTTTGCATATATTTTGCATATGTTTGCATATTATGCATATTTTGCATATATTTGCATATTTTGCATATGTTTGCATATTTTGCATATGTTTGCATATTTTGCATATATTTTGCATATGTTTGCATATTTTTGCATATTATGCATATTTTTGCATATTTTGCATATTTTTGCATATTTTGCATATGTTTGCATATTGTGCATATATTTTGCATATTTTGCATATTTTGCATATTTTTGCATATGCTTGCATATTTTGCATATGTTAACATATTTTGCATATTTTGCATATTTTTGCATATTTTAGCATATATTTTGCATATTTGGCCTATATTTTGCATATTTTATGCATATATTTTGCATATTTATTGCATATCGACCTAGCATATTTTGCATATTTTTTGCATATTTTGCATATATTTTGCATATTTTGCATATTTTTTGCATATATTTTGCATATTTTTTGCATATTTTGCATATTTTTTGCATATTTTGCATATTTTTTGCATATCTCGTGCATATGCAAAATATGCAAATATGCAAAAAATTAAAAAATATGAACCCTTAAAATAATTCTAAATCCTTTGAAACGAATTTGTGTCCAATCAGAATTTCGATATCTTCATTATTAAAAAATATGCAAATATGCAAAATCCGAG